ATGGCTATCCCATTGGGCTGCTTATAACACCAGTGATACACAGATCTAGTACTTTTACTGGCCTTTTTATTAATATTAATAAATTAATGGAAAAAATAAATGAATGGGACTCAATGGGACAACCAGTTACCACAGTGGTTCAAGCCGCCCAGCAGCAAGACATATGATGTAAAGCGCCATTGTGAACATGTTAATCATAATGTGTGAAATAAACAACCATGGTGCACATTATAGTACTATCATCATTTTGTAGCCATCTCCTGTTGCTGTGACAGTGAAATTAAGTGTTGGAGTCACTTAAAATAATATGAGATGTTAATCATTTCCATGTGTTCATCTGGATAATAAATTATACCTCTGGTAAAAGGAGATTTCTGGCCAGGGGCGGTCGTGCACTTCGGAAGCTGAGGCAGGATCGTGGCAAGTTCAAGACCAGCCTGGGTCACAAAGTGAGCTCAAGGCCAGCCTGAACTGCACAGCATGACCCTGCCTTAAAAAAAAAAAAAAAAATCACAAAAACGATGGTTTCTTATGGCTGTCATGTATTTTTTACAATGTCTAATACAATGTGTAAATATACATTAACCTACTTTTATGCTCCTGATAAGGTTTTCAGTCAAGAGCAGGTTACTAGTAGCCAAGTTTTGAGGTGCTCAAAAGTTCTATGTGGATTTTTTGACTACACAGAGGTTAAACCCCCTAACACACCCATGTTGTTTAAGGGTCAGTTATACAACATAAGTAATCTTGAGCTGACTGAAAGAATCCAGGAAGATGTATACAAGCGACATGCAAATACTCTACCATTTTCTATAAGGAACTAAAGTGTTTATCAGGGTAGAACCCAGGGCCTTGAATATGCCAGGCAAGTGCTTTTCCACTCAGCTGCAGCTCAGCCAGCCACCTCTCCTTTAAAATGCAGATAATGACTTGGTGCCTCTGCCAGCTGACTGTTATGATGAGATAGTTTTATTATTTTTACAAATATAAGTAAATAATTTACTTCCTTAACTGTAAAATCAGTGGAGTTGGTAATAGAACACAGCCTAATTCTATTAAGCCACACAATGAACTAACTTATTACTGTTGCATTATTTGGTCCATATAACAAAATATTAACATATTGATATATGAAGTCTCTAATAATGTCAATATTAAAAGTGACTAAAAGTTATATTCTTTTTTTTTCTTTTTTGAGACAGGGTCATGTTTTCACTATGCAGCAAGGCTGGAATCCTCCCACCTCAGTTTCCCAAGTGCTGGGATTACAGGCATCCTGTGGTTTACATACCTGGCAGTTTAACTAGAAAAATGGATTTCACATGCCTAATGAAATCTCATTCTAATGAGTGGCTATATTTCTAAAAAGATATTAATTGGATATCCCCTGCACATGGTTTGAAAATGTCATTTTTTTCCTTTAAAGTCAGTTATGATAGGTGTGGTGGCACATGCATGTAATCTCAGCACTCTGGGAGGCTGAAGCAGGAAGATTGCTGAGAATTTGAGGCCACCCAGCCTGGTTGTATAGTAAGTGTAAATTCAGTTTTATGCACAGCAAGACCCTGTCTCGAAAAACAAAACCAAACAAACAAAATCAAGAGTTATAGTTGGACACGCGATAGCACACACCTACAATCCCAGCACTGTGGGAAGTTGATGCGAGACAATCACAAATTGGAGCTCAACATGGGCAACTTAACAGACTTAGTGAGTACTCTGACTCAAAAAGTGGATACAGGACTGGGGAAGTAGCTTAGTATATGAAAACACTGGGTTCAATTCTCAGTAACTCCCTCTCAGAAATAACAAATCAGTTGTGGTAATATCTATTATTGCTCCTATACATAAATGATTTTTTTCAAAACTAATGTCCATCAAAAGAGATTTGAGTGTTAACAAAAATGCACAGTTGGCACTTATCTTGTAGGGCTGTTTGTTCAGTTATGCAATCAGGTAATCAGAGTCTCACCATATAGTTGAGGCAAGCCTCAAACTCAGCAATCCTCCTGCCTCTGCCTCCCAAGTGCGCACTTACAGGCGTTCACAATGCCAGGCAGTAATTTAAGTTTTTACCTTAATAATCTGTGAGTAACCATCATAGCAAGATGCATTTTTGTCTTATTGAGACAGGGTCTCACAATGTAGTCTAGGCTGGCCTTGAACTCATAGCCATTCTTCTGCCTCAGCCTCCCAAGTGCTGGGACTAAAGGTATGGGCCACCACACCCAGTCACAGCAAGGTTTCCCTGTGTTCCACTGTAAAAAGATCATCCAGTCTTATGAGAAGATCTTAAAACTAAAACCAAAAATAAAGTTAGAATAAGATTTCTCAGTGTATGAAAGAAATATTATATCTGCCTCATAGTATCTGAGCAATTATTTTGGATACTTCCTATGCCTCTCTCTGGTGGAAATAACCCACATCTTCACTATCTGCCTAAATGCCATTTTTCTAAGATGTCCTTAACAGCCAGCTCCCTGCAATGCTAACAGCTGCTTTCAGTATGCTACATCTCTTTGCATTCAGGATACTATTGTAACTACAATTTTAAAGAGTATATACCATGTATCATATTTTTCCTATTTATTTTGTACTCTGTACACTGGGGTTCTCATATAAGAGAAACCATGTATTGTGTCTGATTTACTTAACTTTATGGTCTCAATGTGCACCTGTTTTCCTACAATTAACTCATCCTTTATAGCAATGTAGTACTCCATTGTATGTAAACACTGTATTTTCTTTATCCATTCATCTGTTGGTGGACATTTAGGCTGCTCCCAAGACTTGGCTATTACTACTGTAAATTGTGTCATCTTTTTGAAGATTAGGGTTCACATCTTACACATTTTTGTGGTTTTCCCTTTCCTACACCGCAGCAGAATCTTGTATATAGGAGGGCAACTTTGTTGTTCGATTTATTCAATTAGGTATACTCATTTTATTTACTTTTTGATGGTAAGGATTAAACCCAGGGCTTCACAATAGCCTAGGCAGCTTCTTTATCCTGAGCTCTGCCCTCAGCCTCTGAGCCTAAGTTTAAATTTAGGAAGTTTGTTGTAAAACAAAGAGAAATGACATTTCTTTGCTACAGGCACAAAGAGACCAGGTATCAATGTATTTCTGACATCCAATGACAACACAACATAGATAACTCCTTAGGTCAGGTTCTCCCAGTGCTGTGAAAACAGCCCCACTCATTTCTCCAAGTGAGTCTTAAGAGCAACTGAATGTAAAACCACTGTCACAAATTAACTGTAGCCTCTGCTGGGAGGAAAGGAGTTACTGAAAGGCAGACTCCTGATGTTTGAGCAAAAGGAGCAATATATTTCCATGAGGACTGGAGTCTCCAGGGTTCTGTAGGCATCTCATATTTCTTCTGTTCAGGAAATAAGATCTAAGCACTTGAGTTAACCTAAGAAAAGTTTGGCAGAGATGGAACAGAGATGATCCCTGTCTAGGAGACCTCGATACTAATGTTTTATCTATCCCGAGGGAAAATGCCTGAACTGTGTCTTGCTACCAGGCTGTGCAACTAGGACTGAGAAACATGAGGGATCAGTTACAGGTAACTTTCTTTTCCATTGTGTTTTCCATTCCATTGCAGCCTCTGTCTTTGCTTTAACCACCTAATATAAGCATACTCACATTTAATGAGACCAGGTTGGGTAAGTTAAGAAATTTTAAATAACTGTCCGTGAAGGCCTAGAGACTATCCAAAACAGGAATGAATTCATCTCTATAGCCTAGCATGGTGGCATAGTCCTATAATCCTAGCACTCGGGAGGCTGTGGCAGGAGGATCATTGAGTTTGAGACCAG